TCCAGCTGCAAGTTAAATGCAGGGTCGCCTATGGCTTCCCAAGTTGAGTTTTGACTTGCATTTCTAACCAATTGACCTGTGCTCTGGTTTTTGACTGCAACAGTAGGTCGGTCAAGAAAAATATCCTGGATGAATGAGCTGACATGGCCACCAAACCCTGAGTTCCAACTCTTCAGCTGGAAGTCGAACCCCTAATTTACTCTAGTCCCAGGCTGGTTAGACCCATTATTCATGGAAGTCTCTCTTGGCTGTCTGTCTATCAAATTATTTGTATTCATGGAGAGAAAGTGATAAGCCAAAATGCTAATTATCCATTTTTCTAAAATAAAAGGTCCATGCTAAGAATACCAATGAGTTATTAAAACAGCACTTTTCATCTGACATAATACATCTTAACAAGCTCTTTAAATCCAGGGATTTTCATTGCCGGACACCTTATCTAATAAAAAGGAAGATGCTTACTTTCTATTTATTCAGACTTTGCTAGCATTGGGCAACAGCTTTTGAATTTGAATGCTGTTGAAAATAATGAGATAAGATGGGGAAATTCACTTTAAAAAAAAAAAAAACCCTACACTTAATGCACTTAATGTATTGATATATATGATCATTTTCCAAGTACCTGAGTCTAAAATAGTGATTCTCAGCTGGGATGAATTTTGTCCCCTGGGGGATATTTGGTAATATCTGGAGACATATTTGGTTGTTATAATTGGGGAGTGGGTGGTGGTACTACAGGTATCTGGTGGGTAGAAGCCAAGGATGCTGCTAAACATCTTACAATGAACATCCCACACCCTCCCTAAAGAATTAATCAGCCTAAAATGTCAATAGTGCTGAGGTTGAGAAACTCAGTTCTAAAAGAAATGAAAGAATTCTAATAAATAATTAGGCAATAGCTCTAATGAAATATGGCTACATTAGTGCTACGAAGTATATACATATATATATATATTAGGAGTATATATACATATATTTACTTCTAGTAGCTCTGCAACTTGTTTCTAAAGAATATGCAATCCTACAAAAAGTTCTTTCGCAAGTGAACTCCTCGTCTACTGATCTCATCAGCATTACCTGTCCACAGGACCCAGGTTCATTCATATAAAACCAAGCAGCAGGGCTAAGCTCCATCCCCTGTCCCACACTCACAATGCACACTCACACCTGAGGCCTGTCACATACAGGGGCTGCCTTAGCTCACCCCCACCCCGACCAATGTCACCACTGCAACAATTACACTGATCACTTAAAAAACATAAAATTAGACATTTTGATAATTGGGAGCAAAGTGATTTGGGTAGCATAACTCATGCACTAATTTGTTTTTTGTATAAAATTGTAGCATTAAACTTCAACGTAACATCCTAAATCATTTTTAACCACAAACCAACTTACAGGTTAACTTCTAGTCTTCCTAGAGGAAAAGTCAAGAGAAAACAGTTTATTTTCTAGACAGGTTTCTGTTTCCTTGGCACACCAACTTTTGGCACTGGAGAGCTGTGAGAAACACAGTGGTTTGGGGTTGGCAAGCTCCGAGCATTTCAGTTCCCAGCAGCCAGGCTCCTCTGAGGCCTGCCAAATCCACAAAGCAACACTTAGTCTTTGGAGCCAAAAGCCCTTGGGAGGAAAACCATCCTCTGTGCAAAAAAATCAATATATGCTCCATTAGCTAAAAGGTTGATTATCAGTAGCAGAATCCTTACTAAATCTTAGCTAAGTTTTAGAATTTGAAGGATGCTAGTATTATAGAAGTCTGGTAGTTAATAGAGTATCAGTAATGGAGATGCCAGAGAGAAGCAACCATCTCTAAAGCCATCTTTTTAGTTAACACCAAAGTCCCTTGCATTGGCTCAAATTTAATTCATAAGTTCTTTTCAAAAGTAAAACAAACAAACAAACAATACCAAAAAACCTTGGCGATTAAAGACAATAATAGATGCAGATAGGGGGCAAAAATAAGCGTGAACATTTATTTATTTTCAACAACTTACCTAAAGTTCATGTATACCCAATGAAAAAATATTTGTTAGAATACAAAGTGCTCCACCAAAACAAAACAAAACACAGAAATAAAAGCACCATGAAACCAACATAAATAATAAATCACTCTATAAATAAATAAGTACAGAGAAATCTATCAAAATCCATTAAAACAAGAATCACATATAAAACTGAGTTTGTGTAGAGGTTGGATTAAAGGTCAGTATGAATACAATGATAGGAAGTGGTAGCAGATCACTGAAAGGGGAGAAAGCAAATATCCAGCTGCTTTAAATTGTTGGCTATTATGCAAAATTAAATTATATACATTCTTTTTTTTTAAATTTTATTTATTTATTTGAAGAGAGAGAAAGAGAGAGAGAGAGTGAGACAAGCGGGGGTGGGGGGGAGAGAGAGGGAGAAGCAGGCTCCCCACTAAGCAGGGAGCCTGATGCGGGGCTCCATCCCAGGACCCTGGGATCATGACCTGAGAGGCAGATGCTTAACCAACTGAGCGACCCAGGCGCCCCAAACTATATACATTCTTAATAAATGGTACCAAAAAGCTAGGCTGAATCTACAAACAGTATTCTGTAAAAGCAGAATACTAAATTATCTAGGAAACAAATGCACTGGGAAGTTTGGCACTTGATCTTCTTTTGCATTATTTTCTCGAAGTATGATCATTTTTTTCATTTCCTCCTTGACAGATAAATTCTGTCCAATACAAAAATCTTCCAGAAGAAAGTAATTAAAATGTTGATGTGTGCCATACTTTCTTAATAGAAAACTTGTTTTTAAGAGGGTGAATTAAAACTGATCTCAAAGGTTAAATGAAATGAAGTGTGCCTAAGATACACAGTTACCAATTAAAAACATATTTGTGGTAATTAGCATTCAAAATAAACTTGGAGATTGTAAACTCTGGAATTCACATCTCATACTCTCACAAAGCTGTGGGTCCATAAAAGTAACTGAATCAAAACACTAACTACACAAAATAAGAGCCACCCTCTGGCATTCCTTGCTAGAACAACCCTTAGGGAGATTGCTTTGTTACTTCTGTTAACCCCAAATCCACAAGGCTCCCACTGTATGTAGAATAAACTCCAAACCCTTTATGGGACTTCAGGCACCCTGGACTCTGGCCCTCTCTCAATCACAGCCAGTCAGCAAACTTCATTTGTTTCTTGACCATGTCATGTTCTTGCCACAGCCTCAGGACTTGGAACACTGTCTCTTTTTTCCTGGAACACTTTACCCTTTACTCGCCCTGCCATTTTCACAAGTTCCTTCTCATCATGGAGGACCTAGCTGAAATGTCAGCTTCTCAAAGAAGTCTTTTCCTAACCACAGGTTCAAGCTCAAAGTAAATCCTCCTCATTAAGCCCTTTCATAGCACACAGTGGTGTACCTTCGGAGACCCTTATTGTCATTATAATTGTGTACTTCTTAATCCATTTACTCATTTATTGTCAGTCTTTCCCATTAATCCCTAAGTTTCTTGGAGAAAGAACAGTCTGTTTGCCACGGTATCAACAACACTAACAAGTTGCTTGGCCCAAAGCATATGTTAATAAATATTTTTAAATGCATAAAAGTAGTTTCAGATGCACTGTAAATACCACACGGGTTAAAAGACTTAGCCGTGATGTTTACTGATAGAGCGGTTTTAGCACCATTTACGCAATATCAATGTTAAGTAGGATGCTACTATATTCACACAACATCTCATATTTTTCAGCGCATAAATCTTAAATTTTGTTAAGTTCAGTGAATTTGGAGTAATGTCCAAGAATACAGAGACCTCTGGTCCTATTGGGACATAGGGTTTATCCATCTCCGATTGAACTAAAAAACAGTGTAAAATACACTCAGTGTAGTCACTGTCTACACCACATAAATATATGTCTGTGTGTACAGGGTCACCTGTGTGTGCATGTGTCAAAACTCATAAGCAGATTCCTAGTCAGGGACCGTGCTGGACAAACTGTCCTGAAATAGACATGTCAGGATTTAGCCCCTGAGTTCTTTCTTTCTTTTTAAAAGATTGCTTTCTTAACCTACATTTTACTTTAATATCCAAGAGGTCTCATATGAAATTTCAGATAAAGTATCACACTGAGTTAGAGGGACTGAATCTAAAACAGACTTAAATTTGTAATGAAAATGTTATGATTGCTAGAAAAGCCAGGATCACAGGACTTTTCTTGTTTAAGCTAGTCAGTCCAAATTGGCACAACATGAAAACGGAAGAGATGTTAGAAAACAAGGAAAGTAAAGGATAAAATTACAGTAGGATACTCATCTATGAACAAGAGTAAAAAATCATGTTTAACTCCGATGTTTAATTGAGAAAAGAAAAAGATTTTAAGGTTCACTGGAAAAGGGTACAAAGCATAACTTTCCATTTCCATTTTAATGCTCATTTAATAACTAGATGCTAAGTTTTAATAAAAGCAAGGAATTTGTTTGGTTCCCCGTATAACTCCAGCATCCATAATTGTGTCTGACATCTAGTAGGCCATCAGCAAATATTTGTCGAATGAATAATAACAATAACAGCAACTTTATTAATGCTGTGTCAAATACTGTACAAAACAATTCATAGATAAATACCAATAACCATCACAACAGTCTTAGGGGGAAGACTTCTCATTGCCCTTTTATAAACGAGTTAACAAAATCCTAATAACTTCTCCAGCATTCACATTCGGGACCGGTTGGGTGCAGAACCTGATTTCCCAGCCACCACACTCAACAGGCTTCTTGGACATGCACAATGGTACGGAGGACAAATGCGGGCACATTTAAAAGGGTGTGCGGGAAAACAATTCAAAATGTAAGATGAACTACAGAGCCGGAGAACAGGGCCTGTTTCTGTATAGCAGCTCACTGAAGCTGCACATACAACGCCATAGGAGATTATGGAGGAGGCTAAAGGCACGACGGGGGTGGGAAAGGGAGTCCAGAAAAGACAGATAGCAAATAAATAAAGAGCTTATTCCTTTCCACAGTAACAACTACACCACCACCTGCAACATCGCCAGAACTGCCAGAAGAACCCTACAGAAATGAGGCAGACCCTGTTTTTCAAAAGAGTAATAATGAAAAAATAAAGTCCTGTGGTGCTTTTCCTCTATTGGCCTTTCTTACAAATTCATAGCACAGCATGGAGGTTATTAAAATCCCATATGTGAGAACCACACACAGCACAAAGAGATATGAATTGGCGTTCCATGGAGATAATGCTATCTAATGGGCAAAACAAGTAGTAGGGTTTCATTTTTATTCTGAGTACATGTGAAAAGGGCTCAGCATCAAACTACCGTGCATGGATAGCTGACCATCCAAAGACTGTTTCTACCCTTCCTTCCCATGGATTAATAAGTGGGATATAGAGTTGGGCTATTATCTGCCCCAGTCTGGACATTCACCTGAGCTTTTTCTTTGCTTGAAACCATTTGAAATAGAGTAAATTGAAAGCTTTTCCAGCTGCCCTGGCACAGAAGGAAAGCAGAAGAAAACCTTCCCCCGCTCGCCTCATAGCATCATGGAAGCCCAGGGGTCTGAAGGAGCTCACGGTTTCTACTCAAGAGTCTCCCAGAGACTCACCTCTGTGCCCAGTGCAGGTTGGCTTACACTTTGTTATTGTTGAGTTGGTTAGTTCACGGTTTTTTGTTGGTTGGTTGGGTTTTTTCAGGGGTCAGAAGAGGCTGCTGAATGTCCTATTACAGAAGATCAAATCTGACTAACCACAGTAAATGCTATTCTATATGATCTGGCCTTGAGAGTGGAAGGTAGCACCTAAGATCAAAAAGCCAATTTTAAGAATATCCTATGACCTTAGTCAACAGAAAACCTTATATCTGAAATTTCCTAAGTAACTTAGTGCTGAAATTTAATTAAGACAAAATCGTAGCTATTTTGAATTCATTTACTCTAAAACCAACCTTCAAAAGCAGACAAAATTTGTGGTCATAAACACCTGGACCAAGGTATGGGCAGAAGACACTACTCTTAAGGAGCCAGGAAGTTTAAAATCCAGCTAGTAACACAAAGTAATTCTCCAGCCTTCTTGGTAACCAAAACCCAAAAATTTAAATCAAATTAAATCTAATCTAACTTAATGTAATTCAAGAAATGTATCATGTAAAAGGGACAACCAAAGGTAGGTCATTAATTAAAATTTGAGCGCCTTCTGAGTTACCACATCATTCATTCATTCAGCAAATGTCTAATGAGCATCTGTCCTGTTCCATGACCCCGGCCTCTATCCTCATGAAACTCACTATAGTGCTGAGAGGGCGAGTAGATCACTTCTTCCAGTCCTAGAGTCACCCTTAAAGAAAATTAAATGGCATGGCTGCTGACGTATTGGTTCCTCAAGGAAACTTAAGTGCCAATGTAAAAAACATTATTGAGTCTCTGTTGGTGTCTTGAAATGAGGAGCAACAAATTTAGGAGCCATGGGTGAGAGAACCATCTCCAGGCTGGTAGGCAGAAAAAGGCCACCTCAGAACAAGGAGAATGCAGCAAGATGAAGGGCTCTGTTGGGGAGAAAATAAAGTGAGCTCTAGGGTAGGAGAGTGAAATACTGGGTTCAGAAGGAAGGAGCGTCTTTACATGAACTTCGATATCAAACCCCTTAGACCTCTTAGAAACCTCTACTGACCAGCGGCAACCATTTTACTACATCTGGAAAGACGAGATGTTGGCTAGTAATTTAGGATAAAAACTTTATTTCAAGAATCCTCTACTTGGGGGTGAATGAATACTCTCTCACTGGTTATCAGAGGTAAGAATGTAGACAGAGCAGGAAGGAAAAAAAAAAAACCTTCAAGGCTAGCATTGAGGAGGCCTGGGTTCTAGGTTCTTCTCTAACACCAATAGTCATGAGATTGTTAGACAAACAACTTTAGCTTTTTATCTTATTCTCTCATACGCCAGTTGCAGATAATAGCGCTTACCCTGTCTAAACTCTCAGGGTTGCCAGGAGAATAAAAACAAAATGGATTTTAAGAAGTAAAGAAGGGACACATTTGAAAAGCTTATGCTTAATCTTCACAATTCAGTTCTGCCAGGTTGAGCCTCTTGGCTGAGAGAAACTAAAAAATATAAATAACATCTATAATAACAGTGACTGCTATGATTTACTGAGTGCTTAACACATGTATCAGGCACATATCTCATTTAATCTTTATGTCAATCCTACGAGGTTCTTATAATTATTGACCACATGCTACAAACGAAGAAACTGAGGCCCCGAGAAGTTAAATGTTTTGTGAAAAGACACACATCCGGTAAACGGAACTCAAATCCATCTGACTCCAAAGCCTAAGAGTTAAACAACTAAGCTATTCTGGTTCTTAGTCATCTCTCAAGATGCGCTTCATTTCAAATCAGTACAATTCGATTTGATTCAACCTACAAACATTATTGGCAGTAGGAAGACATTAACATATAGACTTTCAGAGTTCAGGTTGTTTACACATTTGCCAAAAACAGACACACGTACCCTTGCTAGAAGTTCCCAGCCTACTGAGCCATGAATGGAGACTGCAGTGGAAGCAAGGTGACTGCACAGGGAAGGGACCGAGCTCACATGTCCTGGCACTCATCACTTAGTTCCCTAGCAGAGCACAAAGCTGCTCTTGACACGAGGGTGGTAGGGTACCACCGGTGTTGAGAAAACAATTTTTTTCCCCATCTTATTCTTAACACACTACTTTATGCAGCTCTATTTAAGCTTCTGGTTCATGAGCCAAAATTCTCATCAGTGTAAGCTCATCCATGGAGAGAAAACAGAATCAGTTCTCAAAATATCTTTGCCTCCAGCTTTCCAGAAATCCCATCTTCTTGATTGCTCAGTATAGTTCCAGGTATTAGAGGGATTTAAAACAAATATAAGGAGTGGCCCAATCCCCCAAGGTAGTTACAATAATAATCACAAACATTTATGGAGTGCTCACTTTTGTACCAGACATTGTTTTAGGTAATTATTGACTCACTGAATTCTCAAAACAACACTATGACGTAGGTATTGCCATTATCTCTCATTACAGTGAAGAAACCAAGACAGAGAGTTTAAATGACTTGTCCAAATGTTGGACAGGGATTTAAATGTAGTAGTCCATCTCCAGGGCTGTTTTACATCATGCCACCCTACATGCCCCTCACGATGGGGGAGAAAACAGACCTGAGACAATTAAATAATACAATTAGCTAGCATATTTACTTCTATAATAAATAATCGATGAGAATGCTAATGGAGTTTAAAAGTAAGTTTACTAGGTGAAGGAAAGTTCATGGAGAATATAAAACTTGAACCCAAGAAATGTCCCTGTTTGTAATGTTTGCCCATTTTTCTTCACCCAAAAAGCACTTCTACATTTCATTTTGAGGTTTTTGGGGTTCTGTTGTTTTTAAAAAAACATATTTTTAGTCAGGTATAACATGTATCTAAGTAAGAAAACAAAACACTATTCTGACCTGTATTATTATAGCTTAATTTTACCTGTTTGAAATTTACAAAGGGAATTATACAATATGTACACGTTTGTGTCTCTGTTTGCTCACATCATACGTGTAAGACTCATTCATGTTGTGCGTAGCAGTAATTCATTAATTATTCCATTATGAATATATAACATAATTTTTCCATTCTATTGTGGATGAACAAAAGGTTATATTTTCAATTTTATTATCATTATTGTATGTTTCCTTTCCTGTCAAATGTACCATTTGTGTCGGGTTTCCAGGAACAGAATTACTGGGTCATAGGATAAGTGTATGTTCTCATTATCTTTTTGTTATTGGTCTACAGCCCAATTCCATTGTGATCAGAGGAAATACTACATGTGATTTTAATCCACTTGAATTTTTTTAAAGGCTTACTTTAGTGACTGGTATGCAGTTTTGTTAAATGTTTCATGTTTATTTGAAAAGAATGTGTATTCTGCAGCTTTTGGATGCAGAGTTGTATATACATGTCATTTAGGTCCAGTTTTTTAACTAAACTGTTGTTTAAATCTACTCTATCCTTACTCGTATTTCGGTCTGTTAATGCTACAATTAAAAGAGGGAGAAAGCTATTAAAATCTCCAACTATGATTGTTGGATTGTCCGTTGTTCTTAGTTTTGCCAGTTTTTGCTTGAACTGTTTTGAGTTAAGTGCATATCTTTTTAGATTAGTGGATATTGCGGGGCGCCTGGGCTCAGTCAGTTACGTGTCTGCCTTCGGCTCAGGTCATGGTCCCAGGGTCCTGGGATCAAGCCCCACATCGGGCTCCCGGAGTCTGCTTCTCCCTCTCCCTCTGCTGCTCCCCCTGCTTGTGCTGTCAAATAAATAAATTAAATCTTTAAAAAAAATGATTATTGGATATTGCTGTCAAAATGCCCATTTGGTTACTATTGACATGACTTTTTTCATTTTTAGCGTGACTAATCTTTCCTTAATATCTAAAATGTCTAATATCAGCTTCCTTTTGATTAGTGTCTGCAGGGTATATCCTTTTCCATTCTTTTCTTTTTCAACTTTTCTGTTCTGATATTTAAAAATGTGTATATTTAGGTAGCATAATAGTATTTTTATACAGTATGTCTTTTAATGGGAATATTTAGAGCCTTTATATTTAAATAACTATGGATATATCTGGATTTAGATCCACCAAATTCTTGTTCATTTCTCATTTCCAGTTGTTCTTTGTTCTTATATATTATTTTGTCTTTTTAAAAAATCAAGAAATTTTTTTATTTTTCCATTTTTTCTGTATTAGTCTGCTACTTCTACATTCTTGCATTATTCTTTTTCATTGTTATCCTGCAAATTACATTACTTTTTCCTTGACTTATTAAAGTATAATATAATTTAATATCTTCACCAATTTCCAAACATTGCAAGTCTCTTACAACACTTTAATACTTAACCCTGCTTCTGCATTTTGACTATTATTGCCATGTATTTTATTTATTTTATTTATTTATCTGACAGAGAGAGAGAGACACAGCGAGAGAGGGAACACAAGCAGGGGGAGTGGGAGAGGGAGAAGCAGTCTTCCCGCTGAGCAGGGAGCCCGA